GTGAACAGAGTGACACAAAACCTAACTGACAGACGTGATTCGTGACACAGACAGCTCAAAATAAGTTTTAATACAAACTGAAACCACACAAATCTCTTTACAGTAAACGTATAAATAATGCAGTATTATGGAAGAAAATCAAAACTGTGCGATGCGTACTCACATGCAGTGACAGTGTGTGGTCCGTGTGCAGTAATACACACGTCATGAAGATGCTCGGCTACACACGCAGACTTCATCCAGATAAAATAAAAAATGTATTTGTTTGATGTCTGCGATGAAAATAAAGTCTTATTGTTTATCTTTATGTTGCTGAAGGCTGGAAGCATCATGTTGCTTCAACACACGGCACAATGACACATATTACACACTCAGCAGGTTTATTATACCTGACAGCTGCTGCCCAACAGAAGCCCCGCCCACTCTGCTTTAAACCACACCCACTCCCACATAGAGCATCTGTTTGACTCCGCCCACATGTGATATTACATCAGTGCTCTTAGCTTCTGTTAGCATGTGTGTTAGCCTTCTGTATTTAGCAGCACAATAATCCCCAGTGAGCTGCAGGATTATTAATCTGTTAATCTGATTACGGTGTTTGTTTGCGTGTGCAGTGTGTGTGTGTGTGTGTGGTTAATGGAGGGGGTGTTGTGGGAACATGTGTGTGTGTTGATGCTGGGGTTTGGTTGTAAATGTATCGGTATGATCTAATTATGGCTGAAAGAGAAGTCAGTGGAGGAGTCTGATGTTTTCAGGACTCAACCTGCAGACACTACTGAGGGTTAAAAAACCCATAAATTCTTTTTGTATGTAAACCTTTTATTCTGGTTTATCTAAAAGGTCTAAATCTGATGTTTTTGACTTCACTCTGTTTTGTCTTTACACTATCCTGTCGACACAGTTTAATCTTTCTGTCACATTTACAGTATTTTATAAATGTGACAGATTATCACAGGTACTCACTGATCTGTGGCTCCATTACTCAGAGGCCCCATGGCTCCAGGGAGCCCCTGAAGGGGCAGGTGTGGAGGCGATGCACTGGAATAAAACCCCCCTGATCGAGTGAGTATCTCCTGCTGCTTCCTGCACACGTTGCACACCCACATCACCTAAAACACAAACGTCACAGCATCTTAAATATGTTGCTTCTTAATGTTAATTTGCATTGGTTAATAGTTGTGTAATGTATTTTGAGGAACTGGGAAAAAAAAACTTAACTCACTAATTTCGTTAGACTTTTATCACTAAATTCAATATTTTTCTAGTAAAACTTATTCAAAAACTTTACAGTCACAAGTTGCTCGGAATTGTAAAATATATTCCTTAAAAACTTTAAAGCCGGAAAGATAAAATGGAGGGGGAATAAATTAAAGAGTTGTTTTCTGATAACACCAAAACAGAAATTTTAGGCATTAAAAACACAAACTCCACCACAAGAGTTCATTACTATATGTTAACAATTTGCATTAAATAATTGAATTTTTGTATTTCTATTAGGGATCCACAATATTGAATTTTTGTCTGATATCCGATATGCCAATATGTTAAAACTTATTTTGCCGATACTCGATACCAATACCGATATTTTTCCCCTAGACCTACTTACAGAGACTACATAGCTTTTTCTGCTGTGGAATTAAAATACTACATTATTCTGCATGGTATTTGTATGGATGGGCTGCTGGTGAGGTTTTGTTTCTCTGTGATTGACCGCTCTCTCGCTTTCCTTTCTGGCCACCACGAACTTCACGTAATGGTCAGAATGGTGGTTCTTGAGATGGTTAATTAGGTTTGAAGTGTTGCAGGACTTGGTTTTCGCTCATCCTCGCATCACTGACGCTGAGCAGTCGTTGCAAACAGAAGTTCTGCTATCAGTTTCCGACAATTTAAAAAACTTCCACACCGTCGACATTTTCACTCCTTCCTCTCCTGCCGTGATCAGATCAGGTAAGCGCATGTGACATCATAACGTTATGCTGGAGCTGCAAGCATCCTTGTCAGTGAGTTGTCCGATATTTTACTTTATCTCAAATATCGTCCGATAGCGATACAATGCCGATATTATCGTTAGGCCTGTCATGATAACAAATTTTGCTGGGTGATTAATTGTCTCAGAAATTATTGCAATAAACGATAATTTTGTTTGAAATTTAACAAAAATGAATAGTCAAATTTTAGAATAAATGTTGATTTGTTTGGTGTGTAGTACTTTTTTTGACCACCTGATGGCAGTATAAGCCTGTTTGATAGTTAGCGTGTCTCTTTAAGAAAAATGGTAGGGAGGGCCCTTGACAACAACATGGCGTATGCTCGGTGGTTTGAGCTCTTTAGCATAACATTTTCCACACAAAGCTTTTAATAATAAATCAGTAAACAAGTTCTCAGCTTCTTTTTGCAGAGAAAAACTACTTTTTACACGAAGGAACAAGTTTCAACCGTGAATTTTGGAGCTTCGACAAGACAGAGGTTTTTTTTCCCGAGGTCGGCCTGTTAGCTTAGCTTGGAGCTTAGCTTCTCAGCTTAGCTGCTTTTATCGATCCAAAAACATGATTTTGGACGGTTAAAACAGATCTTAAAGAGAAAAGGAGGTGTCAGTGAAGAGCACCAGAGTTGAGCCTTTTGTCATCCAGTGTCTTCAGTAGAAAGAGAGAGACACGAAGAAACAATAAAGCCGATAAATGAAAATGAGGTCAATAATTTTCATTCATCATGCGATTAATTGATTTATTGTTAATCGCAACAGGCCTAATTATCATGCATCCCTAATTTCTATATTTATAACGTTTTAACCTGCTGTATATTACTTTGTACAACTCTTATGACCAACTGACCTGCAGTCTTTTTCGGTACAAAGTATTGAAATTAACTTAATTGAGAACAGGTCCACCAAAACCAGTCATATTTAACTGGAAAAGAAAGAAAGTTCCACTTCAGAACCATGAGAACCTTATGAGATCAAAAGTCTGACCTTATTGGCTCTCAGAGGGACACGCCCACCGCAGCGGGCGCAGAAGCGACTCTGACAGTAGCAGCAGGCTCGGCCGCAGCCGTCGGCGAACTTGGTTTTGTGACAAATGCCGCAAGTGGGAGACTCCGCCCTCGCCGTCTGAGCTGCGGGAGGCTCCTCCCCCAGCTTCTTCACCTGGTCTTTGTACATTTCAAACTGTTGATGTAACTTCCTGTGGAGAGATGTGGATATGGCAGAGGTCAGACAATGATGTTGAGACAAATAACCCAAACAATTTTTAATGAGGTCCCAAGGGCAACAATTCTGAGCAAATTTCCCGTTTTTGTCAGTTAAGAAACCAAAGAAGAAAATAGAAGTTGCCCAACTTAAGTGCAGGTTTATGTCAACATGTAACATATTTATTTTAAACTTTAAATGAATGAAAAAAAAAAGTGCAGGTCCCATCTGAGCTTTGCAGCAAGAACCTGATAACATATTAGGTTCCCAACCATGGTCCTTGAGGAACGCCGTCCTGCATGGTTTAGTTTCTTCACTGCTCCAACACACCTGATTTGAGTGAACGGGTGCTTCTGCAGAACTTGAGGAAGTAATTAAATCACTGAATCAGGTGTGTTGGAGCAGAGAAACTACTAAAACACACAGAATGGTGTTCCTCAGGGACCATGGTTGGGAACCACTGTATTAGAGAATAATTTTAATATAAATTTACTCTGACAGTATAAAAATTAAAGTCGGTGGCATGTGTTTTCTAAAAGGTGCTTTTTCTGCATTGCATTATGGGATTGTTAGCAAAGGATGGTGCACATGTCATCAAACAGAGAGTTTTCAAGGCTTTATGGGACATTTTGTAGCACAGTTAACATCTGTTTGATTCTCTGCCCCGGTTCTGATCCAGGACAACACCGGGTCAGTGTTCTTTGAGCTGAGCCAGACAGGTGAAACAGACCCCAGATCGGTTCACCTTCTACAGGTTTTACTCACGTCTGCAGCTCGTCGTCAGTCGGACTTTTAACCTGCAGAACTTCGGTCACATTGGCTGCAACATTATTGACCAACTGACTGAACCCTGAGAATGGATTCCACCTGTCCAGGTAACACAGACAGTCAGCTGACAGGAAGTGCGCTCACCCAGGGAAGGAGGCAGTTGGAAAAGCGGGAAGTAAATGTGTAAAAGTTGTGTTTCGAGGACGGGTTTTGTAGCTCTGACTGAGGTACTTACGAAGCCGGAGGAGGTTTGTCTTCCTCCTGATCCCTGCAGACATAAACGATGTGACGATGATGATGGAGGAAAGAAAATAGAACAGAAACACTGAAACTGAAGCATAAAATGATCAGAAACACGGAGAAGCTGCTGAAGTCCATCGGATGTTTATAGATTTTTAATTTCACGTGTCTGGTTGTGTTCAAATCGTTCTGCAGCCGAACAACGAGCTTTTCATTCATAAATAAAAAACTCTGCTACTGAGATGAGTGAGAAGGTTCTAGAGGTTATAGTGGAGGCCAGTGACTCCAACGTTCTCCAGAGGTCATGATGATGTTCTTTTGGTTTGTCAGGGACTGGGAGGATGTTCTGCAGACCAAACTGAGACTCTGAAGGATTTTAAAGAGTTTTTTATTTATTTATCAAAGAGTAGATTCAAATGGTCAGTGGGGAACGGGTCTAACAGGTTCTAATGGTCAGCAAGAAGAACCCTAGATACTAGTGAGGAGGTAGAGAGGTTCTACTGGTTATTAAGAACCTTCTGAAGATAACTTCAGCATAGGCTGTAAAGCATTTTGTGTGGTCAGTGAGGAGCTACTGGAGATTGGAGTGAGGAGGTTCTACAAACCACAGAGAAGTTCCTTTGGTTAGATCTTTCTGAAGAATAAAGACTAGCTGATGGTCTCGACATCAACAAGGAGCTGCTGTAGATCAGTGAGGAGATTCCAGAGGTCAAAGGTAAGTTGATTATGTTTTGTGTACGAGGAGTTGTAGTTGAGGCTCTTTTGTCAACATTTGAGATCAGCAAGAAGCTTTAGAGTTACTGTATGTGAAGATGTTCTAGATATCAAGATGATCTTCATAGATCTGAGAGGAGGTTCTAGAGATCAAGATGATCTTCATAGATCTGAGAGGAGGTTCTAGAGATCAGGGTGAGCATTAATGATCTGAGAGGAGG